GGGTACAAAAGGTACACTGTGCCAAATTGACACCGGTTACTGTCAGCCCAATCCTTGCAGGCATGGTGGGTCTTGCACCCCAACTACATATGGCTTTGAGTGTCAGTGTCAGGCTGGGTTTGAAGGAATACTGTGCCAGACTAATATTGATGATTGCGTTAACCATCAGTGTCTGCATGGAGCAAGCTGTGTTGATCAGGTGAGATGGTCTCTTGTGGACAATTGACATGACCCATATTACACTTGAAATCCGGGTGTGTAAACTCAAGCAAAATTGTGTTTTGTCAGCCTTCTGCTTATTTCAGGAGTGTGAAATCTCCAGGTTTTTTGGTTGAGTATGCTGAATTTCGTTTTCCACATTTTTGCCATCGACAGGCCAGATTTTCCGAATTTTTCTTTCTTGCCTAAGTGCCAATTTTTCCATTGGTTTTCTTTCTTTTTCTACCGGCTCAATGCAAAGGCCCGGCCAAAACATTGCACATCCTTGTTTGGATGGCGAACAAGGCTGTAGTTCTGTAATTAATGTGGGCAACTAAATCAACTGTACATAAAAATGCAAATATATGTACATTTTACAGTGCATACAGTGATATATATTTGTGCAGGTCAAATTGCAATCACTGTGTGTAAACAGCATCCTGAGACCACCCAGTCATTGGGTTGTGATTGGCTGCCAACAAAGCATCAATATTCATACATACATGTACATGTGTGACAGTGGGACTCATTAAAGCCGATCTTGCATAAGTAGAAGTAGTGACTAACAATCCCCATTATAACTTGTGGTAGCACAGTTTACTGCGAATTTACGGCTTGAAATAAAGTTTGTACATTTGCATTCACTGATAGAGGGTTTCATGACAACTGGCACGTGGCATGCAATGTTGTTGTGTCATGCGTCATTTTGTACAAGCTTTAAAACAATATTTGGACATTAACTTTTCAAAATGTCAGCGCAACACAAATGTATAATTGTCCAAAGAGGCTCTGACTTGGATAAAATCTCCGACAAGACCGATCCTCAAGTAACGAATCCGCAGCCAAACAGTGGATGAAATTCACTATAAACCATCAAATTACTTTTCAGTTAAAAAAATTCTACGCCCTAATATTTTTGACCTAAAAATTTTAGAAGAAAAACAAAAGATACCACGCAACTACCCAAGCGTTTTTTTTCAGTGCAATAGGAAGCACAACTATTATTTTGTTTGGTCTCATGGAGTGGAACTCGTTTTGATTGCTCACTTATGAACATTTATACTAGGCCCCCCCAAAAAAGTTTCCGGTTTCTGGTTAGGAGCTGGTTTCAAGAATTGTGTGGTGACGTGGCTTTTTGTTTTTTACTCTCCCTTTTTTTTCTGGAAATGATGTCTGTATGACGCGCGATGTCCTTCCCGACTGCATATGCAGGTAATGCCAGCCGCTTCAAACACTAAAATAAACTGGCCTCCACATTTTTTACTGAAGTACATGTATTTTCCAGGGGCATAAGACCACCTTGTTTGTCTGGTTCCTAGATCTAACTAATGATGCCATCTGCAAAAGAGGGCTCAGCTCAATGTATGGGGAGCCAGAGGGACCCCTTTACTGTACATATTTCTCAACTGTACCCCATCAAAATGCGTTAAAATTACACAGTAGCAGGATCCCAGTCGATTAAGCAAGTTTGGCAGCTTTTGGACATTGTTTATACCAAATGAAAAACTAATTAATTTGCCGACGCGCAGGATTACGGCGATGCGCACTGACCAGAAACCAGATATTGGGGGTGGGGGCTTTCTGCACCATTCTTATATTCTTACATGTATGTTTTATATTTAGGAAAGAATGGACTTTCCTGATCTTTCTCAAAACCCTTGAACTCCACCCACGCCTCTTAAGTCTTCTTTTTTTTTTGTGGCTTGAGCAATACATGTATATCGAGAACTTTTTGAACATAGAAACCATGGATATTTAATATTAATATTACAACCCACAAACCCTCAAATGCAGGCAAGGCTATCTATCTGATTTTGTTTGTTACACTGCATCGTACTTCTTTTCTTGAAAATTTCAAACACCATTCATTTGTTTTAATTCCGTGGCCTACCTCTTTCTGCTCTCAAAGGTAGAGCTGTGACCTAATCCTCAGCTGTAGCTCATTTTCCACAGATCTGACCATTCCCTGAGGTTGTTTGTGTCCTTACCCACAGGCCAACCGTTATTCCTGTCGCTGTGCTCCAGGCTACACAGGACAGTTTTGTGAGACGGCTTTAGACATCTGCTCAGCTGAGCCATGCCAGAACAGTGCACAATGTCTGCCCACTGGAAACAGCACACACCACTGCATATGTGAACCAGGTAACTAGCACACTGCATGTCATCTGTGCCCATTGCTCCTGCAAAATGAATCTTATGAGAACTTTTCAAGTGGTTGCACAATTTAAGGAGCATTTATAAAGCGTGGAGCATGTCCAGCTTTTCAAGTATCCTGAAATTCATGTAGTGATTGATGAATGCAGCCTTCCAACCCCTTTTTGCAAGGCCCAGTCTCATGTAGACATTTTCTGTTTGCAGATGAAATTTCTATAAATTTGGGTTACAATTATTTTCCCGTCCCTGTTACATCTTGCGTATGATTTTATTGTGTTTAGAACTCATTGTTTATTTTCCAAGACTGAAAAAAGTGCTGCAAATTACCTGCCAAACCAATAAAAACAGTTTGAAATCAATTTCAGTGTCAAATATGTCAGATGGTATACTTGTCAGCGGTATAACAGGGATGAAAAAATGTCACACTTTGGACCCCAAATTTATAGAATGACCCATTTGCAAGTTAGGCAAAGAACCAATCATAAACAATAAGGTTTTCAAAGTAGATGCTTGGCTTAGATGTAGCTTGTAGCATTGTCTTTCAAGCAAGTACATGATATGCATGTGTTTTCAGTATATACATGTAGGACAGAATCTCCAAGTCATCAGTGATACCTTGTTCACTGTTCCTTGTTCGCTCATCTGAGGTGCAGAATATGCTGTCCGGCATAGGGCCTGCTCTTTTAACGTCAAAGTTGTGTTTTTCCTTCAAGTGACTGCTAAAACTACAGCTTGCCAACCGTACAAAATAAAAGAACATTTCAAAGAATTCATGTTAAAATCCCACACAGCTGTCCAAGCACCAAATAATAACACATTTCTGAGTAATAATACATGTCAATCAAAATCAATGAGTTGAATGTTCATTTTGAACGACTGTGAGGTAAAATAAACATCAACCAAAGGGCAATTTTTCTGCAAACTTTGGCCGCCCATACGAAAATGGAGAGTGGTCTGTTGCATCACTCAGCAACAACTTATGTCTCTTGTGCAAAGAACCATGATTAGTAACCTCTTTGGAGGACTGTGCACTCTGCTTGTGTTGTTAGTCATAATATCTGTTGGAATGTCTCCCCCAGGTTTCACTGGG